GTAGTCAAACATTGGAACAGGCTGCCTAGGGTGGAGCCACTGTCCCTGAAGGTGTTCAAAAAACATGTAGATATGGCACTTCGGGATGTGGTTTAGTGGGCATGGTGGTATTAGATCAATGGTTGGATTTGTTGATCTCAAAGGTCTATTCTAACCTAATGATTTTATGATTCTATGATTCAACTTCTTGTGTCCCAGTTACGGAATTTTTAGGTCTCTCTCCTTCATGACCTCAGTAAGAAAGGTGCTACAATAAAAGCAGCAAGTAGCAAAGTACAAGTATTTTAACGCAAAGCTCCTTTGTAGGAGAATTAAGTTCTTCACCTGCAGCTTTCAAATACTGTCAATAAGAAGTGACAGAATTTACCCTCGTCAGCCATAAATCCCTTCCAAAAAAACCCCAACCTAAAAGCTTAGAGATAGGAAATTCTTGTCCCAGTAACGTGAGTGGGACTTTTGCTACTGATCCCACAGGAGCCGAGACTGCCTCCATCGTCTTATTCCTCACTAAAGTGTACCTTTGGCGAAACAAGCTGTTAGCTTCCAGCTCAGCTTCCTCCTTCGTTTTCGCCAGCCCCCGACACTGAAGTCTCCGGACTCGCTCCTCAGGGTCAACAGTGAGGAGAAGAACAAGATCAGGTTTAAGCAGATCCTCAGGCCACTGGTACACCTCATCGTGAGCTGGTGGAAGACCCCTGACTTGTCCATTTATTTCAGTGGCAATTGTGTAGGCAGCTGTGCTGTGCCAGTATCTGTCAGGACAATAGAGAATGGAGAGAGAAATTTTAAAGACGACACTAATTCTTCAGCAATATAAGAGACAGGAGTCACCGTAACGACAATTGTAATAATGACAAGGTAGGTGACACTGTGATTTTGAAACGAAATGTAAAGAACAGTTCTGTGACATTCATTATTTCTTAACAGAGTGATAATACTCCATGCAATATACAGAATCACTTTGAATTATTAATTAAAACATATGGCAGAAGCTACATATTATGCAATGAGTATTCCAGATCTCCTATCAAAAGAAAGTCTTCTCATATAAGGAGAGAGGACAAAAGAAGAGTTACATTTTATGTCAAAACCCAATAACTGAGTCAGTTTTTTTGTGGTTCCTATCCTAATAAATGCAACAGATCTGCTAGAGAACATGCAGTCTTCAACCACATGTGAATGAAGAGAGACTTTATTAATGGTTATGCATTTCACCTGCATTTAACATTCCCACTGTTATGAGGCACTGTATATACTTCAGTGGGTTTGAGGCTGGTTAAAAACAGCACTCACACACATGCAAACAACTTCTGTGTATGTGTCCTGTCGGGGGGAGGTTACAGTACCTCTACTGAAACCAGCCAGAGGTTTCAAAGGGCATCTAAATTTTCTTTATTAAGAATAATACTGAACGCTGCCTAGACAGTTAGTGAAAACAAGAAATTACATAAATAAAACCAGAAAAGTGGGAAGTACATTGCTGGCTTTACATCCTCAAAGAGTAAGCCTACCTAAAACGCAGTCATTCTAATCCACCCGTATCTCAGATGCATCTCAGAGATAGCCGTGATGCGCAGCCCTCATTCTCCTCAGATTTGTTACAGAGTCCTGGTTTGGCTGAGGCTGCACAGTCCATGCCTCCACTATTCCTAACTGAAGATGTAATGCTTTCCATGTGTCCTAAAGCCAGTTATGAGTACTACAGTGATAGAAGCCCCCCATCTCACTGTTATCATAAGCATTAGTCTTTAGAAGATTTAGTATTTATCTGACTGTCTGCAAAGCAGCACTTCCAAAGAAAAAGAAAAAAAAAAAGAAACCCAGAGACTATCATTGACAACTTCTGCTTGTAACACTGAACAACTGTACGATGGCAGTGGTATAAGATGACTTTTTAAATATACAAACCTGTCTATGATCACAGGTGCCTGAGTGGATGCTTTCGCGATTTCTGAAGCAAGAATGTAGTTCCCGGCAGCATAAAACGCTCTTTTAATGGGTGCTGGCTGATCATCAAATACTGTCCTCCACTGGCTGATGCAAGCTGGTGGGGACCTTAGCAGAATGCCATTCAGGGTGTCCTTAAGAGACTGAGTTACAGTGGTTTTGCCTGCATTTCATTTCCAGAAGGAAACATTTGTTATATTATACACCAGATACAACTGAGTTTTAAAAGCTGAAGAATGCTCCTACCTGTTCACTTGGAGCACATGTTCTGACAACTGACTATGTAACCTGAGTATCTTGTGATAAGGTGTTCAGCATGAAATGATTATGACTTTGGTTTCAGGAATTACTACTCCACTTCCTACTCCCAGGGCCTTCCACCCCTCCCTCTCACCAGCTTTCAGTCTTCACTCCCTTAAATGCATTAAATACATGGCAATTTCTCTGTATTTCTCATTCACAATATTTTTTTAGGCCACAATTCATGTGGACATTGCCATGCTGTGAACCAATACTTTCTTTTTCGAGGTGATTTTCAGTTCTCTTTAACAGAAAACTCAGAAAACAAAGTTATTCAGAAGCAATTAGTATTTCTCTCTGAGACAAACTGCTGACAGTTCCTCAGGCTACCACTACTTTAGTTCATTTATTTGAAAACTCTCTCTACGTTTCATCACCTGCATGAGAAATTTAATTTCCAGTACTCCACTCTTTGTATTCTTTCACTGGCACAGATAAGGAATTCATCCATCAAATGAAAATTAGCATAGGGTGTTTGAGCTACAAGCAAGAGAAGCCAGACTGGTTTTTATAATTACTAATTCTTTCAAAGCCGTCACAGGCTTTGAGGAATTTTTGTTGAATTTTTAAGCCTTACGGCTGGCTGAAAGCCACAGCGGTTGCTCTTTCCAACAATTTCTCACCCGCGGATCTTCCAACCACGCATTGCTCTTACCCGTGGCATCCAGCCCCTCAAGAACTACGACAGGAAAAGCCCCCTTCTGCTGCTGCTGCTCAGGACACTTCTCCAGCAGGTCGAGCACCGCGCCGGCCTCCGGGATCCGCGCCGCGCACTGCAAGGACAGACGTGACCC